AAATTATGAAACATTCTGTAAAATGCTCAGGTAATTTAAAAAGCTAACATCTTGAAAAACAAAACAAAGGTAGGGAAGCTTTTTGATTTAAAGAGGCTAAAGAGACATGGTAACTGATAGCACTGATTGCTCTTTAATTGGATCTGAATAGATAAAAGAGAAAAGCCATAAAGGGCATTATTAGGGCAACTGGAGTTTGGACTGTGCTTTAGGCAATGTTAATACCAGGCTCTGAGTGCCCTCCCAGGTAAGGGAGGTACTTCTTGGAACGTTCCTTTGTTAAATTTGAGGGTGATAATGGTATTGTGGTTGCACAGGAGTGTCTTTGTTTTTAGGATGCAGGGATGAAATACCAGTTTTCTATCAATTTTCACATGGCCTAGGGGAAAACTACACAGTGGGAAACCAAGAGTGGCAATGCAAATATGGCAAATGTTGACACTTGGTGATTCTGGCTAACAGCTATATGGTGTTCATTATGCTGTTCCTTCATGGGGAAAGGGGTTGGTCCCCCTGCTGCTATGCCAGGGAGGCTGCACACTAGACAGTCCCCCGCCCTGGGCTTCAGATACAGGGAGGGCAGGATCCCCTGTGAGACTCTGGTCTGACCCTCAAGGCTCCTCCCCTGCCATAGGGGAAACTCAGGTTCAAAAGGGCTAAGGGTCTACTCCTGGTCCCCAAGGACCATCGGGTTGAGCTGGGCTGCTAGCTGGACGATGGCCCTCAAGTCTAGCTTGGCCTCGCCTCTGCATGCTTTCACAGCTCAGAATGTCTGGCTCAATGCTGGCTGGGGCTTCAGTCACCCCCAGCTGAGTGTCAGAGCAGGAATAGGCCAGGAAGGTGCCAGCCCAAAAGTTAATCAGAACCACCTGTGGTCAGCTGCCACCAACAGAGGTATATTGGGATCCAGGGATGAGGGCAAGCTGCCGAGCACAGGGAGTCCGGGCCTGGCCCACATGGGGAGAGGGGCTCACAGGGGGCCAGCTGGGGACAGGCTGGGCAGCCTGAGCATAAAGTTCCTAGGAAGGCAGGGGCAGTGTGTCCTCTGGGCCTGAGGTCACTGGCATCTTGGCTAGGTCGGGCAAAGGGAGAAGACCAGGTAACTGGCTGAGCCTGGTCCAAGAACTTTCTAAAAGGCAAGTTCCTTCCATCAGGGGTTGGCACCTGCTGTTCCTTCTGGCTGGAATGTACTTTCCCCAGCTCCCCCCCACCCTCCCCGCCCCAAGTGGGTTAATACTCATTCATTCTTCAACAGAAGGCTCCTGCCCAGACTGGGTTTGGTGCCATAGGTTCCTACAGCCTTATTTTGCTGTATCTCGTTTTTACCACCTGTCATAGACTTGAACTCATCTATGCCAAGTTCGTTATCTGTCTCCCGCACCAGAGAGGGAGCTCTGTGTACAGCCTGCCATGGTCCTGCCTGGCACTGGGCCTGCTAGGGTAGGCGCTCAGTAGATACTTCAGTGCATCCAGCTGTCCAGGTGGAAGCAGCTGCTGAGGGCACCAAGCACCCCATCCAGGAAGATGTGTAGATGGTCTGGGTGTGACTTGTCAGCTAGAGTGGCTTTTATCAGCTACCCCAGCTCCAATCGTAGCAACTATTAAGCATTTATTTCTCATCGGAAGCGGGTAAGGTGCACTCGGCATGCTCATTTTCAGGTGAGATGGTCAGCCTAGTGTTTTGCCCAGGATCACAGAACTGGTTCATGATAGCGCTGGAATTATGGTTTGTACACAAGTCAGCCTGTCTCCAAAGAGCTGCCTTTGGGCAAGGGTCCGGCTTAGTTTTCTGGGGGCACCCACTCCCACCCTGTGTATCCCAGCCTGGCTCATCCCATTGCAATAACGCCATGAGCCCTTAGTACACGTTACCTCATTTATTCTCACAACATGCCTGTGAGGTAGGGAGGGGCAGGGACTGTCCCCATTTTACAGAGGAGGAAGTTGAGGCACACAGAGGTCAAGTGACTTGCCCAAGGTCACAGACGGCGGCCAAGCTGGAATGGGGCCCAGAGCAGGCCCTTGGTTCACCTGGGGGGCCCCCCCTGCAGCAAGCGCCGGACAAGAGGATGTCTCCAATGCCATAGAGTCGTATACACAGTATAGAGCAGCCCCTCGTGTACTGAGCTCGCTGCCAGGCTTGGCCCCTGCCCAGATGGCCTGCCCTCCCCCTGCCCTCCCCCACCCTGCCCTGCAGGCCCGGGCCATTGCAGCTCAGGGCTCATGACACCCTGGGAATGGGGATGGGGGGAAAGGGAGAAAAGAAGATGATTGGGGTAAAAAAAAAAAAAAATAGAACAGAACAGAAAACTAAAGAGGCTGGGCAGATGAGCCCATGGGGTCAGGAGGGAGGGTGGGAGACAAAAAAAAAGGGCTGCTTACACACAAGGTATATATTTTTACACACACTTGTACATACACCTAGATATAGTACATGTAAAAATATATGCTATTCACACACCCGCCTCCTGCCAGGTGCCCCGAGAGCCAGCGGCGGCGGCGCTGGTGGGCAGGGGTGAGCAGATGGGCGTTTGTTAAATATACACTCTAAGGTCTATGTGCATATGTACACATACATACAGACATCGCCGCCTGTCCCTCGGTTACTATACACAGGTGTGGCCAAGGACAGACACAACCCCCCAGGAAAATGGGGTCCCTCTCTCTCGAGTGCCCCCTGGAAGCTGCTCTGAGTCCTAGATTTTGCTGAAGGAAGGGGCTGGAGAGGAGAAGGCGGCGGGAGTCTGGAGCATGGTAACTGTGGCTTCGTTTCGTCTCATTTCCCCCTAAAGATAAAACCTCCCTCATCTGCTCAGAGGCAAGTCCTGCCTGACACTGCCTGGGGCTGGCGGGTCCAGCAGTGGGTACCCCCTGAGGAACCTCCATCTGCATGTGTGCGTGCGTGTGAGACTGTGTGTGAGCATTGGGTGGGAGAGGGAGGGGACACGTGTCCATCGCTCTGTCGTCTGGGCCCTCAACCGCAAAAAGGGTTGAGGACCAGAAAGCCGCTTGCCATGATGGTGACCACTGTGTGAGCTCTGAAGGGAAAAGAGAAAAACGTAAGAATGAAAATCCAAGGTCAGAGCAGGGGTAGCTGGGAAAAGAAGGAAGGACATGGCAGGTGCCCAAGGCTGCCCTTGGACTGTCGTTGTCTTGTAAACAAGCTAGTTTAAGTTCTCATCAGATAGAACAAGTAAAAAGACCGAAGTCTGGAGGCTGGGCCGGGAGTTGCCGACTGAAGTCCATCTATCTAGTCCACCACGGCCAGTGAGAGGAAAAAGAAAAGTTTTCTAGTTTTGTGATTTTTGTTGACGTTTTGTGTGTGTGAAATCTTCATAACCTAAAGCTGAGAGGGACCCAGAAAAGCCAAATTGTGAGCCCTTGTATGCATCAATTTGAAAGTTGGCTCAGGGTCTCTAGACAGAATAACCATACTAAAGGTTGAGAAAATTTTGTTCCATTTGCATTTAGTTTTTACGTATGTGGGTTTTTAAAATGATTTTAAATTGTTTCCTTCCTCTTTCCTGGTCTCAGAGCCTGGTCTGGGCCTCCGGGACATAAATCTCGATGCTGTCCGCGCTCTCTGTGGCTGAGTTCTGCCGCACGGAAGCTGCCCGCTTGGCGGCCAGGAGTCTCTTGCGGGCCTCCTGCCGCTGCTTGTCCCCGGCATCAGAGGCCTTGTCTCGGCTCACTGCCGGCTTGGATTTGGCTGGCTTCTTTGGGACCGGAGGGGGTGGTTTCTTCTCTTCCTTTAGTGAGACAGTGAGGAGGGAACAAAAATAAAACAAAGGTGCCACATTCTGTGTGGCACTACCCCCTACCATATGCTGGAGCTGGAGCCGCCACCCCAGCCTCCCCGCACTGGGCACAAGCAACACATACTGGAATCAGGAAGCCACAGAAGCGATGATCGTGGGAATAGCACAAGGCAGAGGAGCAAAAGCGAGCTTAGAATCCTAGAATGTTCTAGCAGGAAAGGACGGACAGAGCAGCTGCTCCCACCCCCATTTGGAGCCTGAGTCTGGATTTAAATTTAGGGCTTCTGATTCCCAGGTCACATTTCACATGCTATTCTAGGGGATTAGAATTTAACAAGGGTCACAGTCCAATAACCAGTAGGGGTCACTGGCTTTCACTGGAAGGAAGCCTTAGGAAAGAGGCTGGCCACCACAAGGAGGTAGAACTGGCTCTGAGACCCTGGTATTCTGGGTGGCACAGCTCATGAAAAGGGACCGTTCTGCTGCCTCCCAAGTTCCAACAGCCATGTCTACCACTGATGCTGCGGGTGGCAGGTCTCTCCTGGGATCCCCTTTTCCACTAAACATGCAGGGCAGGACAGCATGCTTCAGGGGGTCAGCCTCAACTACACGGAGCGAGCGGCATGCTGGACGAGTGCCAAGCATGGACCCCACGCAGTGATGAACGTGAGCCCCCAGCTCAAAGACGACACACGGAGAAGGGAGCCAAGCAGCACTGACCGATGTGGGCAGCGTTATTGCCGACCAGGAATTTGTCCCTGGACTTCCCCTCCGCACTGCTCCATGCTCACCTTCCTCTTCTCGGGGGTCTCCACCAGCTGCCAGCTGTTGGCCTTGAGGTGGTAGAGTTCATCAAACTTCATGCTGATGTCCTCAATGGACAGCTGTAGCAGGTCCCAGAACCCTGCCAGGTCCTGGGCTGTTGGACGTGGGTTGGCATCAGGGTTCTGTGGGCCAGATGGGGATCAGTGGAGCCAGCAAGGCAGAGGCTTGTCCCGTCCCCCACCCCAAGCATGGTACCCCCAGCCCTGTCAGCAGTGGGTGGGGGCTCTGGAGGCCTAGTCTTACTCCCAGTGTCCTGGTGAGCCAGCCCTAATGGTGGGGGGACTCTTGGGACAAGGGGATGGTCCCATCCTGAGAGTAGGCCTTGCACATACATGTGGACTGTCAAGGCCATCACTGCAGGGCAAGTGTTCATGTCTCTAATGTATACCAGATAGGCACTAACTAGATATTTTATAGGGAAGAAACAGAAGTTCTTGGCCATGGTCTCACAGTGAAGCAGGAAGAAGCCTGGATTCACTCCCAAGTGAGTATGATCACAGAATCCATATTGTTTCCACCCCATCATTCTTTTCCATGTCAACACCATCCCCAAATCTCTACAGGTCCTGGAGATACTCTCTATTGCCTGTCCCCCCCAATACACAGCCCCTGGCTGGATGGAGAGAGATGCCCACAGGAAAAGCTGCCTAGGACTCTACTGCTGGGCCTGGCAAGCAAGCCCTCCTAACAGGTAAGTAAGGGGAGGGAAGAGGACACCCACCTAAACCTAGTAGTGGGATTTCTTTAGTTCTTACCTTGAGTGTCGTCTTAGATACAGAATATATTTCATATAAATACATTTTATATAAAAAGCTAATTGACTTTTAACTTTCATGTGACTGTTTCACATAGAATTCCATTTTCTATTTAAAAGTATTAGAGATTTGATTAGAGGGTGGTAGGGCCACTCCTGGCCCCATTCTTGTGCTAGACACTGACAGCATTGCCATTGTCCTTTCAATACCACAAGGAAGCAGCACCTTCTCTGTGCTAGGGCAGTGGTCACAGAGGCTTAGAGGGGCTGGCTGGTGTACAGGCAGGCCCTTCCTGCCTGGGGGACCACCAAAGGCTGGAAACCTTGCTGTGGAGGAAGAAGAATCACACTCACCAAGTTTTGTTCACAGAGGCCCCGGAACTGCTGGAATTTCTGGGACATCAATAGCTGGGCACTACCCACAGCACTGAGGACTTTTCCTAAGACTGAGAAAGAGAAGGTAGAAAAAGACTGACTTAGCATTGAACCTGGTTTTCTGGGGTGGAAAGTGGGATCAGGGTCATCTCCCCCTGTACTCCCTTAGGATAGAAACATTATTTGGTGATGGCAGCGAGTCTTCATTTTATTTACACATTAATCCCCATTCTCATTGAGAAAAATGGAAATAATACAGATAAACTGAACCCCATTTCATAGTTCCTAAGGACATTTTATGGCAGCAAATTTGAAAAAACTGACCTTAAATGGAAAAGTTTTCTAGCAAACATAAATTACCATCATGGACTCAAGAAGAAAGGGAAAATCTGATTTGATCATTAAGTATTTTTTAGGGATTGAAGTAGATATTAGAAATCTTCCCAGAAAAAGAAACCAGGCCTAGGTAATTTTATAGGTGGAGTTTTATAAAACCTTCCCATGTAAGAATTTGCCCCATTAAGAAATTAGTAAATAAAAAGGAACAGCAAATGGCACATGAACTTTTAGCAGAAAATTGTTGCCAGGGAATAGATGAAACTGTGACAGCCATGAATATGTAAAAGTCAGGTTCAAAGCAGAGAGAGAGATGCTCCAGAGAGAGATAGTAAGACAAAAGAAGGAGATAAATCAGGCGCTCTGGAACTAGAGCGAGAGAAAAATCAGGCCATCACAGAAACAAGGGCCATACTGGAAGTGGCACAAAGATTAAAACCTGCTGAAAATTCTTCCAACAAGGACAGGGAGGGTAGGACTGAAAGAATCTTGGTATAAATGCTTAAAACTCCTTGATTAACAAAACAAAAAATAAATAGCAGAAGGGGAGGGGCATAAAATAAGTTCTACTGTCTACCCTGGGGGCTCAAGTCTGCCTTGGTCTAAAGTATAGTGGGAATAAAAGGAAAAGTCTCTTCTTAAAGTCACTAACTTATGTAAGACTGCACTCAGTTAGAAACAGGAAATGTATTAAATGTATTAAAAAGGGGAAACAGACGTAAATAGGTAGAAAACCATACCATGCTCGTGGGTCAGCAGAATCAACATTGTTAAAATGTCTATACTACCCAAAGTGATCTACAGAGTCAACCCAATCCCTATTAAAATACCACCATCATTTTTCACAGATACAGAACCAGAGAAGACTTCATAGCAAAAGCAATCCTAGGCAATAAAAACAAAAGGGGAGGTATTAATTTACCAGACTTCAAACTATACCACAAGGCTATAGTAATTATAAAACAGCTTGGTACTCACCCAAGAACAGGGACATTGACCATTGGAACAGAACCCAGATATAAAACCATCCTCATATAGTCATCTGATCTTTGACAAAACAGACAAAAACATATAGAGGGAAAAGAATCCTTATTCAATAAATGGTGCTGGGAAAACTGGATAACCACATGTAGAAGACTGAAATAGGATCTACACCTTTCACAAAAATCAACTCACGCTGGGTAACAGACTTAGGAACCTAAGGTGTGAAACTATCAGAATTCTAGAGGAAAACATTGGAAATACTCTTCTAGATATCGGCCTAGGCAAAGAATTTATGAAGAAGATCCCAAAAGCGATCACAGCAACAACAAAAATAAATACATGGGACAAGTTAAAAAGCTTCTGCACAGCCAAAGAAACTGTCAAGAGTGCAAACAGACAACCCACAGAATGGGAGAAAATTTTTGCAAGCTACACATCTGATAAAGGGCTGATAACTAGAATCTATTTAGAACTCAGGAAAATCAGCAAGAAAAAACACACAACCCTATCAAAAATTGGGCAAAGGACATAAACAGAAACTTTTCAAAAGACAACAGAATAATGGCCAACAAACATGAAAAAATGCTCAACATCTCTAATCAGGGAAATGCAAATCAAAACTACAATGAAATATCACTATCTCCAGTGAGAATGGCCTTTACCAAAAAGTCCCCAAATAGGCCGGGCGCAGTGGCTCATGCCTGTAATCCTAGCACTTAGGCCGAGGGGGGCGGATTGCTGTAGGTAAGGAGTTCAAAACCAGCCTGAGCAAGACCTCGACTATAAATAGAAATAAATTAATTGGCCAGCTAATATATATAGAAAAAATTAGCTGGGCATGGTGGCGCATGCCTGTAGTCCCAACTACTCAGGAGGCTGAGGCAGCAGGATTGCTCGAGCCCAGGAGTTTGAGGTTGCTGTGAGCTAGGCTGACGCCACGGCACTCACTCTAGCCTGGGCAACAAAGCGAGACTCTGTCTCAAAAAAAAAAAAAAAAATGAGTGTGGATGGGGAAAGAATATTCTCTTCAACTAATATCTAGTTCAGGGAAAACTAGATATCCACATGCAAAAGTTATTGGACCTTTATATCATATAGAAAAAATTAAAAATGGATCAAAGGGCTAGGTATGGTGGCATGCACCTATAATTCCAGCTACGCGGGAGGCTGAGGCAGGAGAGCTAGGCTGACACCACGGCACTCTAGCCTGGGCAACAGAGTGACACTCTGTCTCAAAAAAAAAAAAGAACACACATATTTATGACCTTGGATTTGGCAATAGTTTCTTAAAGAAGACCCCAAAAACACAGGCAACAAAAGAAAAAAATAGATAAACTGGATTGCATTACAACTGAAAACTTTTTTAATGCATCAGAAGACAGTATGGAGAAATGAAAAGATAACCTACAGAATGGGAGAAAACATCTGTAAATCATATATTTGATTAGGGTTTAATATCCAGAATATATAAATTCCTACAACTTAAGAAAGAGATTAATGACCCAATTAAAAATGGGCAAGAACTTAAAAAGAGATTTCTCTAAAGGTATACAATGGCCAGTAAGCATGCTCAACATAATTGCTCATGGGGGAACTGCAAATCAAAATTACAATTAGATTTCATACCCATTAAGATAGCTGTAAAAAAAAAAAACAAAACAACTGAAAACAAGTCTTATAAACACTTCGAGAAGTTGGAACCACGTGCATCACTGGGGGGAATGTAAAATGATGCAGCTGCTGTGAAAAACAGTTTGGTGGATCCTCAAAAAGCTAGACACGGAATTACCATATGATCCACCAATTCCACTTCTGGGTATAAACCCAAAAGAATTGAAAACAAGAGACTTAAACGGATACTTATACACCAATGTTTGTAATGGGCATTATTCACAGTAGCCAAAAAGTGGAACTAACCCAAGTGCCCATCAACAGATGAATGGATAAACAAAAATGTGGTATATACATACAATGGAATATTATTCAGTCATAAAAATTAATAAAGTTCCGATATATGCCATATGCCCAAACCCTGAAAACATGCTAAATAAAACCAGCCAGACACAAAAGGATAAACATCGTGTGATTCCACTTAGAAAGTAGAGTAGAGGTTATCAGGGGCTAGGGCTAAGGGGTATGAATAGGGGGTTATTGCTTAATAGGTACAGAATTTCTATTTGGGGTGATGAAAAAGTTTTGGAGATAGACAGTGGTGATGGTTGCATAACACTGTGAATGTCATTAATGCCACTGAACTGTATGCTTAAAAATATATAACATAAAATTTGGGGCTATTTTATCTTACTACTATTAAATGATAAAGGAGAAAAGGGATAAGAGAAAAAATAGAAAGTATAAGATAAAATCATAGAAATTAACCTAAATACTTTAATAATTTCATCTTTAAATGAATTAAATTCTCCAACTAAAATAAACCTATTTTCAGGCTGCATAAAAAACCACCACCACCCAGATCTATGATATATGCTATGGACCAGAGACAAATCTAAAGACACAGAAAGGTTATATTATAAATGAAAAAACTGGAAAAAGGTACACCAGGTAAATTCTATATATACCTCTCTTAGCTGGTAAAGCAGACACCAAAAAATCAGTAATTCGGAGAATATTTGATTCACTTAATAAGCTTGATCTAATGGACATAATACAGAAGTCTAAACCCAATAACTATAAAATATACTTTCTTCTTACACAGAGAACATTCATTAAAACCAACAACATTCTCAGCCATAAAACATGCAATGGATTTCAAAGAACTGGATATCACATAGATTATGTTTTTTGACATTAATATAACTAGGTTAGAAACTAGTAATAAAAACATAACTAATAAACCTCCACATGTATTAAAAACAAACAAAAACACAGAGTTCTAAATAATCCACTAGTCAAAAGAAATCTCAGTGGAAGTTGTGTATCTTGTCAGAGAAATGCATAGGTTTCAAATTTATAAAAAAAAGACAACCTAAGAAAGAAATTAGGCCGGGTGCGTGGCTCACGCCTGTAATCCTAGCACTCTGGGAGGCCGAGGCAGGTGGATCGCTCGAGGTCAGGAGTTCGAAACCAGCCCGAGCGAGACCCCGTCTCTATTAAAAATAGAAAGAAATTAATTGACCAACTAAAAATATATATACAAAAGATTAGCCAAGCATGATGGCGCATGCCTGTAGTCCCAGCTACTCGGGAGGCTGAGGCAATAGGATCGCTTGAGCCCAGGAGTC